GCCTTTAAACAAGCTTGACAAGGTTAACTGCCCTTACAACAGAAACACCAACCCACATGGCGAATTTGCCCAACGCCCTTAAACAAGCTCGAAAAGGGTAACTGCCCTTGTAACGGAAGCACCAACCCACATGGCGAATTTGCCTTGCGCCGCTTGAAACTTGTAGCTGCCCTTACAACAGAAGCACCAACACACATGGCGAATTTGCCCAACGCCTTTAAGCAAGATTGAAAAGGGTAACCGCCATTGTAACAGAAGCACCAACCCACATGTCGAATTTGCTTTGCGCCTTTAAACAAGATTGAAATTATCGCCTTTAAACAAGCTTGAAAAGGGTAACTGCCCTTATAACAGAAGCACTTTGCCCAACGCCTCTAAGCAAGCTTGAAAAGGGTAACTGCCCTTATAACAGAAGCACCTACCCACATGGCGAATTTGCCTTACGCCTTTAAACACGAAAAGGTTAACTGCCCTTATAACAGAAGCACCAACCCACATGGCGAATTTGCCTTGCGCCTTTAAACAAGCTTGAAACTTGTAGCTGCCCTTATAAAAGAAACACCAACCCACATGGCGAATTTGCCCAACGCCTTTACGCAAGCTTGAACACGGTACCTGCCCGTACAACAGAAGCACCAACCCACATGGCGAATTTGCCTTACGCCTTTAAACAGGTAACTGCCCTTGTAACAGAAGCACCAACCCACATGGCGAATTTGCCTTACGCCTTGAAACAAGCTCGACAAAGGTAACTGCCCTTGTAACAGAAGCACCAACACACATGGCGAATTTGCCTTGCGCCTTTAAACAAGCTTGAAAAGGGTAACTGCCCTTATAACAGAAGCACCAACCCACATGGCGAATTTGCCTTGCGCCTTTAAACAAGATTGAAAAGGGTAGCTGCCCTTATAACAGAAGCACCAACCCACATGGCGAATATGTCCTGCGCCTTTAAACAAGCTGGAAAAGGGTAACTGCCCGTATAACAGAAGCACCAACCCACATGGCGAATGTGCTTTGCGTGAAGCAAGCTTGAAACTTGTAGCTGCCCTTACAACAGAAGCACCAACGCACATGGCGAATTTGCCTTATGCCTTTAAACAAGCTCGAAAAGGGCATCTGCCCTTGCAACAACAGCTCCAACCCACATGGCGAATTTGCTTTGCGCCTTTAAACAAGCTTGACAAGGTTAACTGCCCTTACAACAGAAACACCAACCCACATGGCGAATTTGCTTTGCGCCTTTAAACAAGCTTGAAAAGGGTAGCTGCCCTTAGAACAGAAGCACCAACCCACATGGCGAATTTGCCTTACTCCTTTAAACAAGCTTGAAAAGGGTAGCTGCCTTGGTAACAGAAGCACCAACCCACATGGCGAATTTGCCTTACGCCTTTAACAAGCTTGAAAAGGGTAAGTGCCCTTATAACAGAAGCACCAACCGACATGGCGAGTTTTGCCTGCGCCTGTAAACAAGCTTGAAAAGGGTAGCTGCCTTTGTAACAGAAGCACCAACCCACATGGCAAACTTGCCTTGCGGCTTTAAACAAGCTTGAAAAGGGTAACTGCCCTTACAACAGCAGCACCAACGCACATGGCGAATTTGCCTTATGCCTTTAAACAAGCTCGAAAAGGGCATCTGCCCTTGCAACAGAAGCTCCAACCCACATGGCGAATTTGCTTTGCGCCTTTAAACAAGCTTGAAAAGGGTAAGTGCCCTTACAACAGAAGCACCAACCCACATGGCGAATTTGCCCAACGCGTTTAAACAAGCTCGAAAAGGGTAACTGCCCTTATAACAGAAGCTCCAACCCGCATGGCGAATTTGCCTTACGCCTTTACACAAGCTCGAAAAGGGTAAGGGCCCTTGTAACGGAAGCACCAACCCACATGGCGAATTTGCCTTGCGCCGCTTGAAACTTGTAGCTGCCCTTACAACAGAAGCACCAACACACATGGCGAATTTGCCCAACGCCTTTAAACAAGATTGAAAAGGGTAGCTGCCCTTGTAACACAAGCACCAACCCACATGGCGAATTTGTTTCCCTTGCGCCCTTAAACAAGCTCGAAAAGGGTAACTGCCCTTGTCACAGAAGCTCCAACCCAGAGCGCGGATTTGCTTTGCGCCTTGAAACAAGCTTGAAAAGGGTAACTGCCCTTATAACAGAAGCACTAACCCACATGGCGAATTTGCCTTGCGCCTTTAAACAAGCTTGACCAGGTTAATTGCGCTTAAAACAGAAGCACCAACCCACATGGCGAATTTGCCTTGCGCCTTTAAACAAGCTTGACCAGGTTAACTGCCCTTAAAACAGAAGCACCAGCCCACATGGCGAATTTGCTTTGCGCCTTCAAACAAGCTTGGAAAGGGTAGCTGCCTTTGTAACAGAAGCACCAACCCACATGGCGAATTTGGCCTTGCGCCTTTAAACAAGCTTGACCAGGTTAACTGCCCTTAAAACAGAAGCACCAGCCCACATGGCGAATTTGCTTTGCGCCTTTAAACAAGCTTGAAAAGGGTAGCTGCCTTTGTAACAGAAGCACCAACCCACACGGCAAATTTGCCTTACGCCTTTGAACCAGCTTGGGTGTGCCGGTAACGACTGAAGAAAGTTTTGCCCACCGCCCAAAACCAAGGGGCCTGGTGTTGGGGCTTAGGTGATTGGGCGCCCTTCATGATGTGCTCGCCAAACTGAAAAACACATGGGGTTGATCAATAGTCCTGGCCCCCAAATGGGGTTCTGATTGTTTCGGTCAGAATCCAATTTACTTTTTGAACTTTGAGAGCAGAATCCGTGGCACCCCCAAAGATAGGTTTCCTTGAGAGGTCCGAGCCAAACCACAAAAAAACACACGGGGTGCTTTTCCTGAGATGCCTGCCAACCCCTAAAAGGCCAGCAAGCTAGCCTCCGCCGAAAGGGTTTTCGTCGAATCCGTGGCTTTTGTCAGCCAGGAAGCCAGTCGCGTCCAAATTGACGTCTCATGCAGGGCTCCTAAGGTACAATTCACTGGCATGCTCGGTTTTGGCAGACTAGGTCCCCCAGTAGTGCCCTTTTACCAACTTTCTTGGGGGAGGGTTCCCCTACTAAATTAGACCACAGGAAAAAAGTTAGTACCCTTATTCGAACCTCTCTACTGGCGGACCTAGTAGAGCCTCTGTTCTACCTATGGGGTTTGATCTCAATTCTAGGCGTTGATTCCTCATTCTTTTCCACCATCATTCTTTTGAACAGCGAGCTGTTTCCCCAGGGTTTTGGGTGGTTTTTTAGAAAGAAGGATCCCTGGAAAGCATGGGGAAGGCACCCCTAGATCAATGCACTTCCCCAAAATGCGGCCATTCGGGGTAGGCCAGGAAGCTCGGCGACTTGGTTTGTGAGTCGTGCATGTGTTTGTTTTTGTACTGTGTGCATGCACAATGTGCCACACTGGGCATGCGTACATTGCGTATCTCCGATACTTTGCGTTCTTTTGCGTATGCTGCGTATTGTGAAAATTGCATATATCGTGAATATTGCAAATACATACATATATATATACACATATATATATATATATAGATACATATATTGAACTTTGCATTTCTTGCATATGTTGCGTATGTTGCGTAAATCGGCCGTGTTACGACGCTGGTGACATTTGGATGTGTCTTTCTTCGGACCTCGTTGGGTTGGTTTCGAAGGGACGCTAGGCGGAAACTCGTTGTTTTGGGTCAAACTCCTAAGTTTGAAGCAAGCCCGTTAAGTACTATGAAGGGTCCAAGGAGCGGTCCATCATTTCGACAACATGTCATATTTCAAACTTATTACTTTTCTCTGACGTGCAGTTGCTCTAGGATTGGTGGTGATAACTTCTTTTTTTGCCCATCACATGGTGCACAAGTGTAGGGTGCAACTGCGGTTGATGAAACGTTGGCACGTATGCCTGGATGACACCAGCCTCTCAGAGAAGTCACCCTTTGACATCTCTGCATGCGCAGATTGTTGTGTTCCGATCGGTGTAAGGCCCTGTGGGCGCAAACCCGACGAGACTTTTGCTCTGAGTCTTGCGCAAAGTTGGACAGGCGAGGGAAATTGGCGCAGCGCAGCCGGAACGAGCAAGCCGCTTTCGCTCACACCGAACTCCCGCCAATTTTAGAAAGGGGCTCTATAGTTTTTTCAGAAGCAGAGGCCCCATAGAATCCTAGCTGCTTCCCAAGTCAAAGGATTTTGCGCAATTTGTTCTTAATTCGCTTGCTTTTCGCGCTTACTTCGCTGTCCTTGGCAAGTGTTTTGGCTTTTGGTGTTCTTTGGTTCTGTTCATTTCTGCAGGAGGCTGCAAACAACAATCAGCTTTTTGCTATCTTACCAAGGGTTTTGAAGCGCAATTTCTGTTTGATGTGGCAACAATCATAGACTGAAGAGCCAACTCGCAAGAGGATTGCTTGCGTGTGGAGACTCGCCAGGATTCGGCCATGAAGGAACATTGGCCATAGCTCTCCCATGGGTGACCTTGCTAGTCTGGCTCAGCATGGAAACCATTGGTGGCAAACAGATGACCCAGTAGATGCTCGCTCCAAAATGGGGAGGGTACAATTTTCCCACACCCAGCATGAAGATGCAACTGATCCCGCATGCGGCATGCTTGTTCTATGGGTACCTCCTAGCCCTTTGGTCCATGTGAGTGGGCGGCTTGCTACGGAACCAAACCTAAGACATCAAAGCGCACCAGCGAAGTTAAAAGCTGGACAACACATGCGCTAGCAAGAGCGCCCCTATCAGGCATAAACAGCTAAGTTGGGCCGCAGCACTCCCTATGTGACCGCCCTTGTTTCCATTTCCATGTGTCATCAAATGAGCATCGCACCCAGGGCCTGTTGCCGTGCAGAGCCAGAGGGAATGCAAGCCCTTGGCACACGCACGCACATTGCTGAAAGGAAAAGACCAGTCGCTTTTAGTGCAGAGGATATAGTTTAGCAGGGGGCCCTTTGTGGCCCTTGTCACAAAGTACCAAAGGTTCTGTGCCAGGAAGCCTTGCACACGCCCGGCGAACATCTCGCCCAGTGACATTGCCAGGACCCACCTTTGCTTCGTGTTTGTTTGCCGGGGGGATGTGCCGCTTGTGACCGCACGTGTCGTAACTTGGGGATACGGAAGCCTTGGCAACCCAGGGTGAAAACAACACCCCTCTTTTCAAAGCCAAACGGAAGCGCCAAGGATTACCCTTGCAGTGTGACCTGGGGGAAGGTACTTGGACAGTCAGTTTTCTTTTGAAGGAACGCCATGATAGTGGGACGGACGGTGCCCTATTGGGAGGGAGATCTTTTTGGCTTTCGGCGAACCGGTTGCGGAAAAAATGTGAAATTGGTTGTCGCCCAATCCCGAAGAAGTAATGCCAGTCTGGCCTTCAGCTAAAACGCCAGCATCTCACATGATCATGAGGATGTCCAAGCCTACTGTTCTCAGCTGCCCAGCACTGGCTGTTTGTTCTGAGATGTTGCTGTTGGTCGTAATGGTAGAGATAATCCTTCAGTTTGGCTTCTTCCTTGCGAGTGTGCAGTCAGCAGAACCACTGCCTCATCAGACAGGCCTTCCTGGCCTCCGCAAATTCCGGTTGGCCGGATGAAGGCAAGGCAGTCTTAAGCCCAAACAAGAAACAGGCGCGCCTTGCAGACCCGCAAAGTGGTTTCGGCTTTCCTGCAAAAATCAAAAGGCCTACCCTCGGAAAAAGAGAAGAAAGAAGAGAGGCCCATGGAGTGCATAACCCTGGTTTTCCGTAGGGTTCCAGGGTGAAGGTTGGCCAAGAATTCCGAGCCATGTGTTTGGTTTGATTCAATTTGATTTGGTCATCCCTTGGACAACAACCATGGCTTTCCGTGTTTCAAGAAGGTGAACCTTGGTGTTTTGATGGTTTGATTTGGCCACAAGCTGCAGGACTTCGCCCGTGCGCAGCCACCGCGGCTGGTCCCCTCCCTCCCCGAAGATGATGGCGCGCGGCCACGGCTGCGGCCCCTCTCCGCGCCTCGGCGGTTTTACGTTTGGCTCTGTCTCAAGGCCCAAATCTGCGCGGTTTCCCTTTGGATTCCCTTTAAGCTCAAAACTGGCTCACTCCAAACAAGACATACCCCTACCCTTCAACTTTCTTTTGAGGTCTGTGGGTTTAGAGTTGGATTGTTCTCCCACTCACTCTTTCTTGGTTTAAGCTTGGAATCCATCCCAGTAAACCTGTGGCAATCCACTTAAGGATCTTCCCAACCCGCTGATTGCAAACATCAACTGAGCCAATTTAACGTTCCAATTTGGTGATTGAAGGGGAAAGGGAGCCTCTATAAATGGGTGTGTGGCGTGTCTTCATGGGACACCTTTCAATACCACCATTCAGGGGGGGTCCAAATCCTAAATGAAAGACACACCCCAAATGGAGTTATAAACCCTGGCAAACCCCACCCCCCCGACACCAAAGCGAGACCGTACCATTCAGGGGGGGTGGGTCCAACTCTTAAGAGAAGGCAACCACCCAACTGGAGTCGTTTTGCCCCTATCAACCCCTTGCAACTGCCCCATGTAGGCCCAGGGGTTCAGCCCCGCGGTAAAGAATGGCCCAAGGGGACCCAATTTGGATGAGAATCCTGAAGGGTAAACAATGGTGGTTTTGTCAACCCAATTTTAATGGCTGTTTGACCCCCAGGGTACCTGTAGGAGGTAGGAGGTTCATGGCCCAACGTACGCCCACCGCGCGCGGCCCAAAAACGTGGCCAGCGGAGGTCCCCAGAGCCCCGGGAGCCCGCGGCGGCGCTTCCAGCGCCGCCGGCCAGCGGCGCGGGGCCGCTGCCGGTGGCAAACTGGGCGCTGTCGTCACCGGTGGCCACAAGCTGGGGATACAAACCCAAGGAGGAGGAGGGGCGGAGGGGAAGAGGGAGAGGAGGGAGAGGTGGAGAGGACGGAGGGTCTAGTTGTGGAAATATTAAGTGGTGTTCTTTTTTTTTTGGGGGGGGGGGAGGGGTTTGTTTTGGAAGAGGTGGAGACTTTGGTGCATTCTGCTTGGATGTTAGGCCTTTAACTTTTTGCCAGCTAATGGGTTTTGCATGAAACCACTAAAAGTTAAGCTTTCAGCAGGGGAGCAAAAATATGCAAAAAGCAACCGAGGAGAGGCGGAGAAGCAGAGGGTCTCGTTTGCTTCCGAGGTGTATATTCAGTTGTGTTTTTTTGTGGGGGGTGAAGGAGGGATGGGGAGGGGGTGCAAAGGGGAATGGGTCGACGACTTCGCGACTACTTTGGTCAATTGAGTTGCTTCAATTCTTTAGTCTGCAAAATACAGGAGGGGGCCACACAGGCCCAAACCGTTAAAAAAGAACAATTACCCTAAGGTCACCCAGCGAACCCTCTGCGGGGAGGGGGAGGCGGCAAAAGGCGCCTGTGTGATACGAAGGAGGGAGCCGGTTTGGCTTGGGGGGTTTTCTGACCCGAAAGTGGGAAGGTCACCTCCTTTCAGTCCGCTTTTTCAAACGCTTGTGGTTGTTTCTGCAGGGCTCCTTAAAAGATACATTTTGCAACCATTTGAAACATGTTGCTTTTTCCACCGAAATAAAAGGAAGCCACCATGTACAAGGCAATGTTCAGGTGTATAATGTAAGGATCCCTGTTCTGGGAGTCAACAAGTCAGCTTATGGAAAGTGCCCCGCGCCCAGGAGAGAACCAGGCTTTTCTCTACTAGCTCCCCTGGGGCATTTGTTGATTTGTCTGGGCGTCGGCAAAATAAGCCAGGATTCTCGGACACGTCAGGGGTCTTCGTGCCGTCGAGTCCGAAGTCCGCCCCCCCTCCCCTTTCGCGGCAACTTGCGCGCGGACGATGTCAGACCAAGGGTTCCTAAGGGATGACTGACGGGAGTCTCTACGGCACTTGGTGCCGTTCGATGGGGTCCAAGGAGCCCATGTCCAGCTCAAAAAACCTAAATCTCCCAATTCTGAAAGTGAAGTCCTCTAAATTGGAGGTGTTTTTGTTGGGAGCCTTGGAACCCCACAGCAACAATAATAAAAGGCCTCGAGATCCCACCTTTTTGGCTTTGAGAGGAGAAGCGCCGTGTCGTGAAGCCCGAAAAGAAGGAGAAGGCCGGGCGCAAGCAGGGATCCACCAATGCACTTTAAGAAATTGGGAGGTATGGATCGGCTCAAAGATATGGCAGTGGGTCAAAACCAATGGTACCATTTTAGGGTAGGTGCACCACCCATTTCAGTCTATTTTAGTGGGGATTGGGATGTTCACTGGGTACGGGATTTTGACCCATGGCCATATTGAGGCTGGCAAAAGGAGAGGAGCTTGAATATTCGTTCGAACAGAAGCGGCTAGGGGTCAGGAGCGTTGTGCTTCCGTGCCGTTTTGAAGGCATCGACCCCGCTTTTCCTGGAATTGGAAATCCCGATCCGCGGTTTGCATGAAAGCGTGTCCTGAGTGCGGAAGTTCACCCTTGATGTCTTGATGCACTGAAAGCCGTTGGATCAGAACGCAAAACATCCCCAGAGTCAAGCGGTCTGCTCCTAGGTCCAGTAGTGCCCTTTCTCACCCCTTTTTTTGGGGGAGGGCAAGCCCCTACTAAAATAGACAAAGCTGAAAAAAGTTGGTACCAACTTATTCTAACCTCCAAATCTGGAGGACCTGGGCTCTTATGACGTGTGTTGCTTTGGAGCGACTTTCCGACCGGTTTCTGCCCCCCCCCCCCCCGGTGTCTCAGGACTTCTCGCCCGGCTTCAATTCCTGGGGGCCGGGAATCGGACCGACTCTGGTTTCCTTTACCCCGGCCAAGCAGGTTGGCCCCCTTTGAGAAACGCCGTCGCAAAATGAGGAGTTGTGAACAGGTCACCAGAAAAACTGGCCGACCGGCGTTTTTTCGAGCCTGGGTCAATCTGATCGCAGGTTCCGTTTGGTTCCAGAAAGTCGGTTCCGCGATATTGCCACCTTAGGGGCGGGCGTCCACGTAAATCTATACTCCTTGGATGTTTTTTCTGATTCTTTGGCTGGCTGGCTGGCCGGCTGGGGTTTGGCTGGCTGGCTGGTTGGTTGCTTGGTTGCTTGGTTGCTGGGTTGCTGGGTTGCTTGGTTGGTTGGTTGGTTGGTTGGTTGGTTGGTTGGTTGGTTGCTTGGTTGCTTGGTTGCTTGGTTGCTTGGTTGCTTGGTTGCTTGGTTGCTTGGTTGCTTGGTTGCTTGGTTGCTTGGTTGCTTGGTTGCTTGGTTGCTTGGTTGCTTGGTTTTCGCGTGCATATGGGAAGGTTCCACCCGGAATCTTGCTCGCTCGCTGGCCCTTCGCTGCCTCTTTAGTACAAGGTCGCCCCAAAATGGTCCCAAAAATCACATGGTCCCCTTTCTTACTGTGAGCCAACCAAATCCTGCACCACGCCAAAGAAACACTGGAATGATTCGATTCCCCCTGCAACTACCAACCAACAAAGGTTTCAACCATGGTTTCAAAGTGGTGCGAACGGATTTTGTAACCAACCAGTGTAGGGTAGGAGTCAGCAAGCCCTCATATGTTTGAATGACCGCAGCACATTCAAACTGGTTCATAACCTGCGATGCCATGCGTGTCACTGAGAGCTCCACGGTATCTGTTGCCCTAGCGCCTGTCCTTCAGGAGCGCCAACCCTTCACCTGCAAGGATGGCTTGCCGCTGGACTACGACGCTGTCACTGAGGCTTGCGTCCGCCTGTCGCTTTTGGTTGACTTCCCCCCCCCCCCCCCCCACAGCACAGGTAGCCCCGAAATGAACTGGGATCGTTGCCTTGGTCCTGTTTTTGGGTGTTAAGTGAGCACTAGTTTTGGGGGCTGTTTTCCTTTAATGCCAGAAGGTGCTGGCCGGGATTCTCGGGATTGGCAAGAATCCGCCTGCACCATGGACCCTCGCTGCGGCTCCGTGTTCTGCTTGTTTGATTGATTTGTTTTTGTCAAAAGAGACAAATCAGTGGACGGGCGGAAAATCACAGGTTGTTTGCGTGTTTCTTTTTTTTTCCCTTCTTTTTTTTGAGGGGGGAGGGTCCAAGATGGGAAGGATCAGCACGAAACTATCCTACATGAGTCCTAGATCTCTAGTAAATCATGTTCAGTTTGCTCTTTTTTAAACTTTTGGAGGGGTGCCCTGTTTCCCATGGGCACTTGGCTTGGGGCTTTGAGCATTTCAATGGAACACCCTCCAAAATGAGTGGGTTTGCAACCAACGTATTTTCATGTCCACCAAGGAGTCCCCGAATCAAATCTCATACTCATACAATCTCATACCCATGAAGGTTTGCTCCCCACCCCCCCCCCCCAAGGTCTTGTTGTCGTTTCGTTGGTCGTTTTTTTTGGGGCCCCGCTTTGAAGGAGCGAAACTTTCGGACGCAAGTCCACCCGAGCGATCCGCGAGGAGACTTGGCGACAATTCGACACATCCCTGAGCCACCTGGCCAGCAAGGCGCGACCGAAGAGGACCTGGCTGGTCTCTAGGTCCCTTTAACCCACCACTTAAGGGATGACTTTGATTGCGGTAAAATAATGGGGCTAGTTTGGATATGTCGGTATGTCGTAACAAAGTGTGAACTTTTCGGGTTTTCCTTGAGATTTTCAAAGCAACCTGTAAAGCGTACACTCGAAAAGCACACAACCATCCACATTTTCCCTCCCGAAGCCGGCTGCGGTTGGAAGAAAAACAAACATGCCGATCGGCAGCAGTTGGTGGCTTATCCTAATGGGGCTTGCTCCATGATTGCAGTATGAGGCAACTAGTTGCAATCTAGCTCTGTTGGGCTTTCCAAGCCGCTTTGGCTTTGTTGTCCGGCCCCCTGTCAGCGCTTGAAGGGCAACCTGGAGCAAGCTTCCTCGCTTACCTTGAGTTTTTCGGTTGGGCGGACTTCTTTGCTTGTATACACGCATGAGCAGATCGCTGGTCTTGGTGTCGGGCGTGAGTGTGCGCGGGGGCAGGGCAGAGCAATGGCCAAAGGTTGCACAAGTGACGTCAAGCGTGGATGTTTTTGTCAGATGAGACTTCGCCGACAACCCATCTCCAAGCCTTCCAGTTGTTCATTCAAGGCTCCCACGACGCGAGGGGACGGAGCGGTTCAGCAAGCGCCAAGTCCGAAGTTTTGGCCTAGGTCAGTAGTGCCCTTTTACCCTTTTTAGGAGGGTTCCCCCACTAGACTACAGAAAAAAGTTGGTACCCTTATTCTAACCTCTCTACTGGAGGACCTAGTCACAGTTGCAGCTTCTTGTGTGTTGCGTACGTGGCTTGGAGACGAGTCCTTTGTTGCGTTCTATTGTTCCACTGTAGATTTGAGGTCCCTTAGCGATTCCATTTTGCGTATCGTGCCTCTCCGCCGATTCATATGCGTGTCAACATTGGGGGGCTCCAATAAAATCCCTCGTTTTATCGTTGGTTTCCTTTTCAACCAATGGGAACAGGGTACCCTCCAAACATACACACAAACAAGCAAGCAAGCAAACAAGAGCACACACAAACACACACAATCAAACAAACAACCACCAACCAACCAACCAACCAACCAGCCAACCAATCAACCAACAGGCGCAGACAGGCAGACGAGCAGACAGGCACACAGGCAAATAGGCAAACAAAAACACAAACACACAATCAGACAAACCAAAAAGCAAACAAACAATCAACCAAACACACAAACAAAGACAGCAACCCATGAAAACACACACACACACACACACACACACACACACACACACACACACACACACACACACACACACACACACACACACACACACACACACACACACACACACACACACACACACACACACACACACACACACACACACACACACACACACACACACACACACACACACACACACACACACACACACACACACACACACACACACACACACACACACACACACACACACACACACACACACACACACACACACACACACACACACACACACACACACACACACACACACACACACACACACACACACACACACACACACACACACACACACACACACACACACACACACACACACACACACACACACACACACACACACACACACACACACACACACACGCCAACAACACACAAACATAACGCGCGCGCACACACACACACACACCCCTACACGCAGCGACACAGCACAGACACAAACACGCGCAACAGCACACAAACGCAAACACAAACACAGGCACAAGCACAAGCCAAACGCAAACGCAAGCAAAAACCGAATCGCAAACACAAGCACCAACACAAAAACAGTCACGCAAACACACACACAAAGACACAAAGACACACACACAAACGCAAAGACACACACACAAAAACAAACACAGACACCAACACAAACACACAGACACAAACAAGCAGACACACACACACACCCAAACACACACACACAGCCAAACACACACACAAAGAGACACACACACAAAGACACAAACACAAACACAGACACCAACACAAACACAACCATATAAGCACACAGACACTCGCAAACACAAACAAAAACATATACACACAAACGTAAAGACACACGCACACAGGCACCAGCACAAACAAAGACACGCACCCAAACACAAAGACACAAACACAAACACGGGCACCAACAGACACACAACCACAAACATACACACACACACACACGCAAACACGAACAAACACACACACAAACAGAACACACACACACACAAATACACAGACACACAAACAAAAAGACACACGCGCACAAACACGGACACAAAGACACACACACACAAACACAAACACAGGCACCAACACAAACACAACCACATAAACATGCACACACACAACACGAACAAACACACACAAACACAGCACGCACAAATACATAGACACACAAACAAAGACACACACGCGCACAAACACGGACACAAAGACACACACACATAAACATACACACACACAAACACGAACAAACACACACACACAAACACAACACACACAAATACACAGACACACAAACACACAGACACACAAACAAAGACACACACGCGCACAAACACGGACACAAGGACACACACACAAACACAAACGCAGGCACCACACGAACACAACCACATACACGCACACACACACAAACACAAAGACACACACACACAAACACAAACACAGGCACCGACACAAACACAACCACATAAACGCACACACACACATAAATACACAGACACACACAATCACACACGCAAATACACACACACAAACAAAGACACACACGCGCACAAACACGCACACCACAAACAACACACAGACACACAAAGACACACAAACATACACACACACACCCACACCCACACCGACACGCACACGCACACGCACATGCACACGCACACGCACACGCACACGCTCACGCACACGCACACGCACACGCACACGCACACGCGCACGCGCACGCGCACGCGCACGCGCACGCGCACGCACACGCACGCGCACGCGCGCACGCGCGCACGCGCGCACGCACACACGCACACACGCACGCACGCACAGACGCACACACGCACACACATGTACACACACACACACACACGCACACACACACACAGCGCGCACGCACGCACGCACCCACACAAACGCAAAGACACGCGCACACAGGCACCAGCACAAACAAGGATGCACCCACACAAAGACAAAGACAGGCACCAACACAAGCGCGCACCCACACAAACACACACACAAACACACGCACACACAAAAAGCAATCAAAGACGCACACACACACACACAAAGACACAAACGCAAACACAGGCACCAGCGCAGGCACTAACACAAGCACCCACACAAACACAAACAAAGACGCAAACACACAAACACAACACACACAAATGCACACGCCCAAACAAAGACACACACGCGCACAAACACGGACACAAAGACACACACACACAAACGCAAATACAGGCACCAACGCAAGAACAACCACATAAACGCACAGACACACACACACACCCACACACACACACACACACACACACACACACACACACACACACACACACACACACACACACACACTTGAACTCCAGATGGAGAGTGCTAATCATTCGAGTACAACTGATGAGTCTCGAGTACAACTGATGAGTCTCGAGTGGGTGTAGGTTCGGCTTGCAGTCTCTCGGCTTCCGTCTAGCAGCGAAAACGTTACAAGGTTCAACATGAAGCACACACAGCGAGAGAAACAACGGGCCAAAAAGACTTTGCACAACCATTGCAGGTACACAGCTGGACGTCTCCAACTGCTTCACCAGGGTCACGAGAGTGTCTTCGTTGGTGGCAGACTCTCGGCCCTGCTGCCACCCGCTGCAGCAACAGAAAAAGGTTTTGGTGGCAGGGTTTTCTGCCACTCCGCACACACACGCCCCTCAATGAGGGGCGAGAAGACTCTTTTTCGGGGGGAGAAAAACCACGCGCCCCAAAACCGGGCGAAGACCCCAACAGAAAACAAACGGAGCAAGGGAGCCCAAAAGAAACAGAAAGGCCCCAAGTTGGGTCTCCGCGGGCAAAACCCCAAACAAGAAACAAGAACAACGGGGAAGCCAGGTTTCGGGTCTCCGAGAGCAACAACCCCAACCAGCGCAAAAACGACCTAGACCTTGTAGACGAAAGGGGCCGCGAAGGCAAAGAGGCAGAAGAGGATCAGGCCATCCCTAACCGGGCGAACAGGAAGTACAAGAAATAGCCCAGAGAGGGAAAGAAAAAAAAGGGAAGAAAGAAAGGGACGAAAGAGAAGAAAGAGAGAGAGAGAAACAGACACAGAAAAAGAGAGAGAAAGAGAGAGAGAGAGACAGAAGCGTATTTAGGGCGTCGCAACCGCCCGGGGGAAAAAAGGAAAGGAGCAGGGTGCGTATTTAGGGCGCCGCATCCCGCCCGGGAAGAAGGAACAAGAAGCAAAAGGCAAGGAGACAAAAAGGAGAAAAGAAAGAAGAAGGAAGAAGGAAGAGGAAGAGGGAAGTAGTAGTATGCGTTTTTAGGGCGACGCATCCCGCCCAGATAGGAACAGAGGATGAAGACCAAGGCTCGCGGAGAAAGACGTCGAATCCCACACAGGGGCCAAGAGGACGGACCCGAAGTAGCAACGGAAGGGGAAGAAGACGTCAAGCCAAACTACGTGAGGAAGAAGAGGAGTAGGAACAGGAAGACAGACGCGAAGACGAAGACGAGGAAAAAGGTGAACAACGCGAGGACAACCAGGCCATCCCTAAGCGGGCGAACAGGAGCGGGACGAACGCGCGGGTCACGAAAGGCAGCGAAAAGAGAACGGGAGGAAGGAGAAGCCATCCCTAAGCGGGCGAAGAACCAGAAGACGGGCACGCGGATGAAGAAGGCGAGAAAAAAGGGGGGAACGTAGGGTGAGACGTCACTATGGTCTGATGGCTGTCTTCCCTTTAGTGAAACCTCGTTCCTGGTTAAATGTGAAATTCCGCCGTTCTATGATAAGCACGTTGAGGTCAAATTTTCCGACAGAGCCGGCCCGGGGTCACACAATGGGTACACCCGAGGATTCCCCACGAATGGGGTGTACACACTTGAACTCCAGATGGAGAGTGCTAATCATTCGAGTACAACTGATGAGTCTCGAGTACAACTGATGAGTCTCGAGTGGGTGTAGGTTCGGTTGCAGTCTCTCGGCTGAAACCGTACCGTCAACATGAAGCACACACAGCGAGAGAAACAACGGGCCAAAAAGACTTTGCACAACCATTGCAGGTACACAGCTGGACGTCTCCAACTGCTTCACCAGGGTCACGAGAGTGTCTTCGTTGGTGGCAGACTCTCGGCCCTGCTGCCACCCCCTGCTGCAACAGAAAAAGGTTTTGGTGGCAGGGTTTTCTGCCACTCCGCACACACACACACACACACACACACACACACACACACACACACACACACACACACACACACACACACACACACACACACACACACACACACACACACACACACACACACACACACACCCACACACACACACACACACACACACACACACACACACACACACACACACCACACACACACACACACACACACACACACACACACACACACACACACCACACACACACACACACACACACACACACACAACACACACACACACACACACACAAACACACACACACACACACCACACACACACACACACTCACACACCACGCACGCACGCACGCACGCACGCACGCACGCACGCACGCACGCACGCACGCACGCACGCACGCACGCACGCACGCACGCGCACGCACGCACGCACGCACGCACGCACGCACGCACGCACGCACGCACGCACGCACGCACGCACGCACGCACGCACGCACGCACGCACGCACGCACGCACGCACGCACGCACGCACGCACGCACGCACGCACGCACGCACGCACGCACGCACGCACGCACGCACGCACGCACGCACGCACGCACGCACGCACGCACGCGCGCACGCACGCACGCACGCACGCACGCACGCACGCACGCACGCACGCACGCACGCACCACACACACACACACACACACACACACACACACACACACACACACACACACACACACACACACACACACACACACACACACACACACACACACACACACACACACACACACACACACACACACACACACACACACACACACACACACACACACACACACACACACACACACACACACACACACACACACACACACACACACACACACACACACACACACACACACACACACACACACACACACACACACACACACACACACACACACACACACACACACACACACACACACACACACACACACACACACACACACACACACACTCACACACACACACACACACACACACAAACACGCGCACAAACACGCGCACGCGCACGCGCACGCGCACACGCACACGCACACGCACACGCACACGCACACGCACACACGCACACCCACACACGCACACACACACACACACGTACACATTTCTGGCATGCGCCCTGGAAAAGCAGCCAGGCCGCATACCTGCGTGGCATCATGAAGGCCTTGAGCGGTGGCATGCCAGGAGACGGTTAGTTTGGGGTTGGTGTAGAGGCAGAAAAGGACACCCGCCAAGGGTTCCTATTTTGAGAAGCCAGGGCTCCTATTATATAAGGGTACTACTGTGGGTGGACGAAATGCTGCACCGCTTGGAAACTATGGCAAACCACTGTGGCGTCGGTATTTACAGGGACTCATCATTCCACGGCTTTTGAAGTGGTGCAGGATTTCGTCCATCCACAGCATGACCCGAGATTGGGAGTTTTCCGTCTTGGTGGTGCTGGTTGGGAGCAGTGCCCAAGTGGGGCTGGGGCTGGCGAGGGGTGGCCGTCAAGCAACCTGATTTCGCGCAGTAAAGCGTTTCAACCATCACCTTGGGCCCGATCCAGATGCTCAATCGTGAGTCGACCAGGTCTTTGGCTCGACCCGTAACCTGTTTGGATCCGGACAAATTCTATTCCGTCACTTGGCCACCAATCCGACTTTTGGGTTTGAGTCAAGATCAGGGTTCCCTTCAAAAACTGTCCAAGAGCTTAAAAGGTACGCCTAAAAAACAAAGCCCCTTTTTTGTGGGGGTGATTTCTGGAAGACGTGCCTTGCCTCCACCTTCCAGTCGCGGTTGTTTGTGGGGTTGCCTCAGCTCCTTTCCCAGCTGAAGCTCCTTCACTTCAACATCCCTTGCTTCGGGATTCGGAATCGTGATAAAAGTTTGCAGAGTGGCTGAATACTTCATGCCTATTGCTTTACTCATCATTCAATCTAGACTTGGCTGTGGGTCAAAAATGCGTAGCCAAAATGGAGCCCTGGTAAATGGAACCAACGACTAAAACGTGCGGTCCCCTGGTTTAATTTTGACCCATAATTACTTGAGGTACGCAACCCCATCCTTATGTCCTTGTACCATCAAACGGTGCAAGCCCAAGAGACGCCGGAGCTCACCGAGCACCCCCCGGCCTCACCGCGGGTTAGCCGAATGCCGCACGAGGCAAACTTGTGGCTACCTGAGGTCTTTGTGGTCGCAGCGGGTTTTAAAGGGCGGAATCTTGGCTCTTTTTGTATTATGCCCGGCTTGGGGGGTACTCCTTTACCGGATTATCTTGCAAAGAACTCGCGTCGAGGATTGCCATGCTTACGTTTATGGTTTCTCCTCCTGGAAGGGCGTACTGTGGGTAGCTTGGTGCAAGCCCACCACCTGTTTTTGACGTGTTTCAAGCCATACGAAGCCTTATAGCATCATGCGTGAAAATGAAGGCCGATCATCACTTTCTGAAGTAAAAACTGCATGAAAGAGGGCCCGTTTTCTTCACAACAGTAGTTGTCTGCCAAGAGTTGGGAATCAGCTCCGCAATTGAGGGCTTGCCCAACATTATGCACTCTGCTCCCCCACCATTTTTGCTGACACCTTCCAGGTTGGAAACTTGTTCGTGAGTTCCTGCCTTCGTTCGGGTCATAAAAGAAGGTGGCTGCAACGTCCACGCGAATGGGATGGATGATTTCCAGGGGGAAAACCTGGTGGATGATGTCAACAGGTCGGATCTCTGATTTGACCATTTCAAGTGGCCTCGATCCAGAAGGCGTTGGGCTCCACAAGGAGGCCACCCGGCTATGGTGGAAAACAACGAGTTGGAAAAGGGACACTTGGGATGGAATTTCAAAAGAAACTGAAAGGACCCCGTCACCAACTGCATGAGCAAAAGACCTGCTTACACGGTTCATGAACTCTTTGGCACATTTCTACCACCGTTTTGTTTGTGTTCCTGAAGGGGAATCGCGACCATGGCCCAGAAATTGGGAGTTTGAAGATGGCGCTGGGAGTCATGGGTTTGTCTCCAAAGGGTTCCAAGAACTTGGTGGCTCCGAGCCATCCGTTAGCTTTTTTGCTTTTTAGGGTTTAGCGGGGATTTCCATTTAACCGACTAAAAGTTAAACTTTTAGCAGGGGATCTGAGGGCAGCCCAGAGAAGGAGCACCAACCACGTGGCTTTGAGCAATGCGTTGGGGGCGTCCAGGAGAAGTCCCTCGCTTGCCCAGCAAGTTCCTTCCGATGCCCGTTTGCAAGGACAGGTGGTTTCCGGCCGTGAAGGGAGGAACACATGTTCCTACCTTGCTTCCATTTGCTTAAGAATATTTTATATATATTTCCCCTTGTTGGTTTTAAATGAAAAGTTTTAAAGGGAATCACTACTGGACATATTTTCATTTTTGCCAGGGGGCTTAAGCAAATGGAAGCCTGTGTTTTGTTTGTACAGAACCAAAACAGCTTTGAACTTGCTTCTGTGGTCCGATAGAGGAGTTGATTGGTGGTGGCCCATTCAGATTTGCTGATTACAATTAAACAAGCACTGTTGTTTAGTCACGTGTCGAAAAGATACCCTTACAAATGGCTGCTTATAGCGCGGGGAAGTCTACGTGTGAGCCATCCCAGGTCTTCACAAAATTCACGAGTTTCTCACGAAGGCAACTCGCCAGTGTTCTGGCTTCAGATTTCTGGAGGCAGACCTTCACCTTGCGACTTTTCTTGCCTTGGGGAATACCGCACGAAGCCGGTGGGAACCCGGAGGACCGAATGAACAAGGGGGTGCTTTTCCTTCTAGTATCTTTTGGTTGACACCGCAACAGCAAAGCTGTTTGGGATTTTAGCTTGGTTTTCTACAAGAACCAGGGGTTCAGTTCCCCCGACCACCACTCCAAACCACCAATTAGGGGTCAACTGAAAGGTGAAAGAAATTGATTGCACTCAACAAGTTAGGTTGCCTGGAGGGTAACCTTCGGTTAGCGAGTTGGCGGCGTTCCGAACTGAGCGTTCGCAAAGAGCTCAGGGCAAAAGCAGGCGCCACTTTCCCATTGAGTCATCCCTTTTATTCAATATAGGACTTTGTGCCCATTGAGTCGTCCCTCAAAGGAACGCTGGTGCCATCTCCGGAAAGAAAAAAAAAGAAAAAACACGGCGGGGGTGGGGTTTTCCAGGGCAGGTTTCCTTGGGCGCTGGAATGGGCTGTGTCTTGGTCCGGAGAATCCCTCCGGCCAGGAGATGGACAGGGAGGACAAGACAAAGATCGAGACAGGCCGCTGTGCGATTCGAATCGCTGCGAGTTTGTTGTTCGCTTCGCACCGCTCGGTGAAACGGTGCCTCTTGTTTTTTGCAACTTACTTGAAAGTAAGGGTTGGCAATGTTCAGTTCGCAATTGGCAATACTAAATGCAAAATTGGCAAGTTCCTCCAAAAGGCGGGATAAACATCAGCTGTTGGTCCCACTTGGAAAGAGTTATCATTTGGAAGGATGATGTTCAAACCAGCTTGTTACCTACAAAAAGTGGCCCAGACGCCTGGTGGGTTGCTTCAACTAGTTTTGACTTTTTGTGGAGGAGTGGCAAACCATCCGCACTCGGCCACAAAACTTGGTGGCTCCCAGCCACCCCCTTGGCTTTTTGGCTTTTTAGTGGTAGTTTCCATTTGACCCACTCAAGTAAAACTTTTAGCCGGGATCTGAGGGCAGGCCAGAAAACTATGGCAGATCACGGTAAATCGTTGGTTCCCCCTTGTGCCCCTACTTGCAGTAAACAGGGGCATCAGCAGCGCTAAGATGCTCACAAATCACACGATGATGGCTGCCCCATAGATGGCGGCAGCAGACACGGCCACCAGAGTTGAAAAAACAGCGCGGAGGTATGTGGTCCAATTGAAACAAGTCGATCCTTCCCTGCATTCTGGAAAAACATCCAACGAATCAGCTGGCGACTACGGCTCCCGAAGAAGAAAAAAGAAGAACAAAAAGAAGCCACGTGTGACATAATCGACCTGCGGCTTTGGCTCGTAGGGAACGGGGATCCAGTGCCGTAAGGCTCTCATTTGCACATGTCCCTTTTGGGACCATAGATCATAGAATATCATGGATGACGGTTCCAAGGCGAAATGCAAAGTGCCGCTTGCGGAGAGTCGCAGTCTTTCCCAAGCGACAAGCTCAAGCGATTTATGTCGTGATACATGTTAGTCTTTGAACTGCAATTCCATGTTGACTTTTGGCCATTCATAGCACTTCGAATGCTTGGGTTCGCCAACCCATTGACTCAACAAACGGAAGAGCTTCTCAAATTCAGCGACAGGTGCCCATCGGGGTGATGAAGAATGCAATCATGCTGGGTGTACAGTGCACATTTCATGGGCTGGGAGGGGAGGGAGGGAGGGAGGGAGCCCAAGCAAGTCCCAAATAAGGCCTTATTGAGGTCTTGATAAGGGCTTGTTTGGGCTCCCCCACCCTATGAACGTTAGTTCTCAAACATGTGTTGTGGTTTTTTTGCGGGGTGGCTTTCCTTTTTCAGCCACCCACATATCAGGCAACCAGTTGGTGGTTGGGATAGGTTTGGGATTTGAAGCCTTGGCCTTGAGGGTAAATGGGAAACCACCCCTTTCCCCCCAAACCACCAATCCAAACCAGCAATTAGAGGGGAGCTGAAGCTTGATTTTTTGGAGTGGGTTCCCCTTTTTTTTTGTGGGGGGCAGGGGAAGCAGAAACTCTGAGCATCATATAATCATGGAAAGAAAATCACCAAGCACACTGCGCTAGCAACGATTTATCGCACCTCAAGCCCGTGCCATGAAAGACATTTTCAAATCCCACTAGCCTTTTTGAAGGAATATGCACATGCTTCACAAGTGTGAAGTCATTTTCAAGCCGATAATGATAGCTTTCCATGCACACCTCGTTACTTCTCATCGGTTTCCCCCTCTTTCCTGGCTTCTGCTTTCATATGAAGAGGCCTTCCGCTCGATGTTGTTCCAGAGCAACTCGGGTTGGCGGAGGTGGTCTGTCTTTCCAAGTTGAAAAAGGAGTTGTAGAGCCTTGAGAAGCGAGGATTTGCTTTGGCACTTTCCGAACCCGAAGCTCGCCAAAAAAAAGAGAGGAAAAACTGGTGTGCTTTTCATGTTTCGTAAGATGACGGCACCCCGAACCCGAACCGAACCTGGGAAACATTTCTGTGTTATACTGGTTCATTTTCGGTAAGACAACTGGGCAGACCAATTCACGCCGGTTGACAGCGCAGGCAAGCGTATCCGGAGCCCTCAACTGCGGGAGAATAAGGTGGTGCCAGGCGCGAGGAAACGGCGGAACCCCAAACCGTTAGGCCACCACCGGCGTGTCGCTCCTAGATCTACCTAAACGAGGATCCAAACAGAGATGTTTTTGTGAAGGGGCATTTTGAAATGGGTCCTCTCGAATGTTGAGTTGTTGCCTTCCCTATAAGACACTCCCAGACGGGGTGTGTGTTCATAGTGGTGGCAAATGGGTTTTAGGCCTTGTACCAGTGAGAAAGTTGTCACGGGAATGACCTATTTTGGTATCACAGCAGGTATATGTTCCAAAAACCATGGGGCTGTTTCTCTTTTGTTCACTGTCCAAAGGGCCATCCCCAATTTTCGGCCAATCGCCAGCAAAGCCGGGTTGCATGGACGACTTTTCAGAGTTTGCATGCGGCTGGCTTGACATTGCTCATAGAAATCGGCTCCAGGAAGGTCTCCTAGGTCCCTCAGTAGTGCCCTTTCTCACCCCGTTTTTTTGGTTGGGAGAGTTCCTCTACTAAAATAGACTACAGCAAATTCTAACCTCTCTACCGGAGGACCTAGTCTCTTTCAGTAACCGGTTCCCAAATCGCTTGGTGGGTACGAATTTTCCGGAGCTGTCCTTGAATTCTATTTCAGGACCAGACGCTGGTTCACGCATTCGGAAATCGGAAAGCGCCCCGGCGACCGTCACGTGCCTCCGTGCCAAAAGGGGTGCTCGAAGCCTTGGAGCTGATGGGCTGAGGGGCCGTCGTAACCATTGGGAGGGCAAACTTGGGAGGGCAAACTTGTACAGCTTATATGGCTATGGGTCAAAACCATGCAGAAAGGCAGAAGGCAGAGATTTTGGGAGGGCAACATACTTTCCATCATGTTTCGGGCGGGGGTTGGAGTACGTGTGGACTGCGCTCGGTCAATCAATCCATCAGACCTCTTTTGCCTGTTCTATTTGTCTGCCTCGCGCTTTCTCCTAGTTCCATGCAGCCAAAGGCAGGCCCCAAAGGAATGCATCCCAAAGGGGTCATCAAGTACTTGCTGGTTCGATAGGGAATGAGAATTGGAATGATCCCGGGATAAACCATCCATCCAGAAAGGTTTCCTTTACTGGACTCCCAAAGCGGTTCCCTATAAACCATCCCCATTTAAGGGAATCCCCTTTAAGGGACTCCCAAAACGGTTCCCCTACAACACATCCCCTACACACCATCCCCCTTTAAAGCACTCCCCGAGAACCATCCGGTTCCTATGGTTTCCTTTTTTCGGGGGATTTCCCAAGACGGTTCAGTCCCACGCGGACTCGTTGGTTTTGATCCCCACCAGCCCTCGAGCTCGCGAACTCACGAACTCACGAACTCGCGGGCTGCCAGGCCCTCGAGCTCGCAAGGAGATCGGGGTTGGAACCCCCTGAAACGCGGTGGAGAGAACTCCCCACCGAAGTGTTTGATGTCCACCAGTTCGGAAAACCCGAATTAGAATTCATGTGCACGTAATATTTAATGCATGTATATATATATACATATAGATATATTCATGTCACATATCCTATGCAGCTTTATACAAACGTTACATATATATATATATACACATACACATGCATGTGGCACCATGCGGCGGGGGGTGGGGGTTGGCTCCTGACACTTTTCTCTACGCAGGGTGCGCCGTTGAACACTTTGTGACGCTTTGCTGACAGGTGGAGTGTTTTTGCTTGCCAATGAGAGAGCTTATTCAGAGAGGTGTGCCAACTGCACAAAATACGGACCCGTCCGCAGAAGTCGTTGCGTTTTGTGCTAGCTGCATGTCTTGCATGTTATACATTCAGGAACTGCGCCAGGTAGCGTCGTTGCAACGCATTGTGCTGTTGGTGCTTGGAACGCATGATGCACTTTGGGGACAGTTTGGGTGCAGAAGTAGAAACTCTGTCGACAATGGGGGATTGTTCACAGTTGTTTTTTTCAAACCCAGCGATAATTCTCGTTGGGGACCTTGTTCCGCAGACTTAACTTGTCAGATTTGACTACAGTCTGCCACGTTTCAGAAAGCCTTTGGAGGAGTCATGGCGATGGCCTTTTTCTTGCTGGTATTCAAAAATGTGATTTCAAGAAGCCCGTGGATGCAGTTGGTATGCGCTGTGCCAATGGGATTGCCTGATTTTCCCTACTTACTGGTGCTCAAATGTGTGGCATGAACAGAACAGTTGCAAGGGCAGTTTCGTCCTGCGCGTCTTCAAGCCAGATACTCACCCCCTCCGCCCTGAATTTGTTATTTGGGAGTCTCACAAACTAAATAGCACAAACGCGGTACCATTCATAGGTTTCCCGCCTGGAAATGATTTATGGTAGACCCAGAAGTTCTGTTCGCGTCGTGCCCAGAGTCAGCACGGTGGAGAATTCTTCAAGGCACGGGAAAATGGGGGTTGGCAAGCGCAGGTAGGAAAACCTGGGTCCGGATTTGTTTGGTTTGACCTTCTGCCACGAATCCAGGACGAGGAAATCGAGATCGCCATGCGAGTGCGCAAGCCTTTTGGAGAGGTCGGCTTGAATTCCATGCCCAAGTTGTTTAGGCAGAGAGCCACAATTTGGTGAGCTCGGCCAGATGGTGTCATGTGGTAGGTCTACCATGATGCTCAGAGAGGATGCATGTTGAAGGCGGGCGGAAGTTCACATGGCTATGAATTTTAATAGGGAGCCACCTCACAAGTGGTTGGTGGACATGAATCCCCACCTGAATTATGTCCACCAAAGGGTCCCCCATTAAAATTCAGACCCACATCCAAATTCACACAGTTCAGCTTGCAATCTTTCTTGCATCAGCTGATGGACAAAACCTTGGCACTCTCACGGAAGCGCCGGCTGGCGGCTTTGTTTTTTCAGCCATCTTGGGAGTGGTACAAGGTTTGGACCATCGAAGTAGAAACGCGGCTTTGCGGCTAGCTGGCATGCGCTTGGACAATGAGATACACAATGCTCACCAGCACCATGCCTCACCTGAAACCATGCATCCCTGAACGCAACTGCTGGGGGTTTAGGTTCACGGGCCTCAAGCCTGGGGTTTTTGTGCGTGTGCCCGCGGGTGGGAAACCAACGGAGCTTCCGAAATGAGAATGCTTGCACTTGGGTCAGCCGCGGTGCTTCTCAGGGAAATGTCATCGAACCCTTTGGGAAGTTGAGGTTGAGGGTCACTTCAATGGGCACTTTACATACACAGTCATAGATTTTTGCTGAGGTCTGTATGTAAGTGCATCCTGAAACACTTCAGCATGTATATGTAGCTATACGAATGTACATTTGTTTATTTTGACATACTTCATTGTATAGGCGCCTATTCTAGTGTCGGTGACTTCGGTCAATGGCGGAAGAGATCTAGTCGTTTGAGTGGGCGGGTAGGCGTTCTGTTGCCTTTGTCTTTTGACCGCCATGCGTGTACTTCCCTTTGCTGGATTCCATCCTGTTAGTTCAGCTCCGATGCGCGACTGAACAGCTTTCGAAAAGCTGAATCAAGCAAGCTCTCAGATGAGTCCTGACTGACTCTGTCTTTGGTGCATTTTGCTTGGATGTTAGGACTTTGACTTGCCAACGAATGGGTTTTTCATTAAACCACTGAAAGTTAAACGGCCACGTTACGAACCGTAGTCATGCGGGGCACCAAGAGTTAAACTTTTAGCAGGGGAGCAGAAAGCAACCGAGCTGTAGTTCTAGAGATTGAACAGCAGCCTTGCCGACTTACCGCCCTTGCAACAAGCTACTGCTACTCGGGAATGAGCCTTCTGTATGTCTGTTTTTGTTTTTGTTTTTTTCCTTTTTCGGCTTCCTATTGTCAAGACGCGAATTCACACCTCCCTCAATTGGTGGTTTGGATGGATTGGCGGTGGGGATTTGAACCCGTGATTCTTGTTGAGGGTAAGTGGGGAAAATACCCCTGAACCTCCAATCCACCATTCAGACTGAAGCTGAACAGTTTGCAGCACCCTCGCTAGTGGCCGGCTATCATTTCCAGCCGCAAGAGGCATTACTCGGCGTCGCCCCGCACGGCCGCGGTTTCGTTTGTTCCGAAAAGAGGTGTAAAAACCTCCGGAACGGAACTCGCAGAAGGGCAGGAAGGCAGGAAGAAGGGTTGCAACGACCGAGAAAAGCCCGAGAGCACAATATCTCTTCCTTTGCCAACATAGCCGAGCCCAACCAAGCTTGACATGGCCTTTGTTTGCAACAATTGCTGGTTGTGATGCCTTGCTCGAAGAGAGGATGTTCAGATTACACCAGCATTGAGATTTGCGATGTGGACGAAGATTCCCGAACTTCGCAGCCTTCCGTGGAGCGATTTCCGCAAGTAATGGCCGGAAACTCCGTCCCACTTGCCCGGACACAACAAGGCAAAAACAAAGAGGACGCCTTGTGGGGGTTATTGTAAATAAAGGTAATCCACAAGGGAAGCCACCCATTCTGGGTTTACCTATGAGACCCCGGCGAAGTGGTACAGGGTTTCTGCCATGGGGGCTCAGTCCATAGGACTGAAACACAATTCGCTAGTTTCGCCGGCGAGTGGCGTTAGCCACTGGTCCCGAGCCCAAACACATGCCCGGACGGATCAGGGGAAGGCGAGAATGAATTTGGGGGCGAGAATGAATTTGGGGGTGTGCTTGGGTTCTGCCCGGCTTTGCAAGGTTTCTCACTTGGCCATGGGTCAAAATCCAAATCGTAACCCCAGTGAACATCCGATTCAATCCCCACTAAAATAGGCTCTAAAATGGGTGGTGAATTCACCTACGGGATCCCATTGGTTTTGAACCATGGCCACTTAGCGAGGCTCGACTCTCGGTATGCCCTGATGGTGTTCTGCCACGCGGGATCTAGGGCATCCGCCCAGAAATTCAACCGGAGACCGCATACCAGCGCCGTGGTGGCGAGGTGACTGCAGCGTTGGCAGGAAAAAAGGCAAAAATGCGGTTTTCTAGGCTCAGTTGTTCAGTGGCACACTTTTTCCCCTTTTTTTGGTGGCTGCCCCACTAAAACAGGTCTTCCTTGAGGGCAAAAAGGCACATGCGGTTTGCTCGGGGTACCTTGGGTTTGTGGCTCACCTGTTTGTCCCGGTGGACACAGGGAACAGCAGTGGCCCTCTTTACCCTGAGGATCGGACCAGTGTTCGAGGGGTACCTCCCCCGCTCCTTCCAGGGATCCGAATCTTTCTAGAAAACGTCCAGGGAAAACCCAGGGAAAACGGATCTGGTTTTTGAAAAGAAGGATGGTTGGAAAGAATGGGGAATCAAGCCCTAGAGGTTTGCTATGCCCTTGTGCATGGTTGGACCGAAACCTTCTAGGTCCCCCAGTAGTGACCTTTGACCCTTTGTTGGTTGGGAGGGTTCTCCTAAAATAGACTACGTAAAAAAGTTGGTACCCTTATTGAAAGCTCTTTACCGGAGGACCGAAACCTTTTTCCTTTCTACAGGCCTCAAATCCGAAGGCAAATGCTGCCCGGTGCGGCGTCCAACAGGTTGGCGCCATGTTGGGAAACCCACTGCCCGGCATAAGGCAGTTGAGCAGTTTCTAGGCGTTGTGAGCTTTGCTTTCAGGGGTAAGCAGCCCAAAGACAAGCCTTCGCAGCCCTGCGTTTGAGCATGCGCTTTCTTTTAACATCACCCAGCCAGATCTCAAATCAAAGGGGCGGCATTTTAACAGCCATCGCTTTTTCTTTCTTCTTTTAACAAAGACACACCATCAAAGGGGCGGAATTTTAACAGCCATCGCTTTTTCTTTCTTCTTTTAACAAAGACACACCATCAAAGGGTGAAACTTTAACAGCCATCGTATATATATATATAGAAACAGCCATTTTAACAGCCATTTTAACAGCCATTTTAACAGCCATTTTTTAAACAAAGAAACAAAAACAAACCACGAGGCTCGAGCTTCGGGTGTGGGGTGCCCGGGGCTCGGCTCCTGTCTGACTGAGGCAGAGGGCAACTTCGCAGGCCGGGGGAGGGCAACTTGGCGACGGGAGGAAGAAAAGAAAACGTCGAAGGCTCCCCCAGCAGTGCAATGGTTTTTTGCCGGTTTTTTGTGTGTTTTTTTTGGGGGGGGGTGTATTGTTTTACCGTTTTTTTTTGGGGGGGAGGGGTAAAATAGACAGAAGAAAGTGGGTACCAACTTATTCTAGCCTCTCTACTGGAGGACCTAGCTTTTTGAGGAGCCCGGAGACCAGGTAACCACTACATGGTGGTTTGGATTGGGATTTGAAGCCGCGGGTTCTTGTTGAGGGCAAATGGGAAAAACACCGAAGCTCCAAACCACCAACCCAAACCACGAATTAGAGGGAAGCTGAAGATATATAGACTTAAACCAAACGGGGTTTTCCCTTTTCTGGGTGATGAGCCACCCGGATCCAGTGCTCTTTGTTTTTGGCTAGCCCCAGTTGGGGCTTAATCCCGGCTGACCAGTTGCAGTTGTTTGGTTGGTTGGTTGCCGGCTAGGTGGTTGGTTGGCTGGTTGGTCGGTTGGGCAGCCGCATCCCCAGCATCCCAAGTTCCTTGGCGTCTTAAACGGCCGCATCCCCAGCATCACCCGCCTCGCTCGAACTTTTGGCTTTGATTTGATGGCAGTTCAGAGTTGCTTGGGGCTGGTTTGGGGTGAGTGTTGGGCTGGCTGAGGTCGTAATGAGGGCGGGTCTTGGGTTTGTTCGGCTCATTTTGGCAGTAGCCTTTCGGCTGCTTCAGGGCCTGGTTATAAAAGCTTGGGCTGGTTTGGGATTAGTTGTTGCCCCAAACCACCAAACCTAGCCCAAAACTCGCGCAGCCACTGCCAAACCAGCCGCACACCTAGCACAAGTCAGGCCCAAGCCAACCCAAAACCGACCCAAAGTCAACGTTAAACCCTTCCAAAAGCATCCTGGATATCGGCCCTTTGCCATGCCTCAATGAACCCTAACAAACCAAAGACCCACCCCTCATCAAGACCTCAGCAAGCCCAACACTCACCCCAAATCAGCCCCAAGCAACTCTGAACTGCCATCAAATCAAAGGCAAAAGTTCGAGCGAGGCGGATGATGCTTGGGATGCTTGCCCATCATGCCGGGTCTCCGCCTCTATCCTCAAGCGCACGCATGGGCTGCATGGGGAACTCCAACCGGGGTTAGTAAGAAACCGGGGTTAGTAAAACAACAAATAGCGCTCCAGCCTGAGCCACCCCTGGGTTTAAGTACCCTTTGTCAAAAAAGTGGAGCACCCATGAAAAGTAAAACGTAAACTGGCTGAAGTAAAAGCATTTTATTTTGAGGATTTTTGCTTTTACCACTTTTTTTTGCTGGGAAGAGTAAAGACTCCTGCCTGAGGTCAGCAATGGGTTTACATGATTCCAAATTTTCGTTGACTGGGGAAAAGTAAGTAAAAAAACTCTGTGAAATCAAACACCAGCTTAAGTTGTGCTTTTAGAAACTTTACTAATATTTTTCATGGCTCTAAACGTTTCAATTTGCACTGTGCGACTCCCTGAAGTGAAACAAGGTTTACTTCGGGAGTTTTACCTTTTCCACTTTTCAGTTTTATTTTTTACTTGTTTGTTTTCACTGGAGAAACGTAGAAAAGTGAAACTGGCAT